GTTGTACACCTGAAACTACTATAATGTTATGCGTCAATTATACCTCAGTAAAAGAAAAAGAAAAAGAGGGGCACCTGGGTGGCTCAATGGTTGAGCTTCTGCCTTTGGCTCCAGTCATGGTCCCGGGGTTCTAGGATCAAGTTCTGTGTCAGGCTGCCCGCAGGGAGCCTGCTTCTCCCTCTGCCTCTTTCTGTCTCTCATGAAAAAATACATAAAATCTTAAAAAAAAAAAAAAGAAAAGAAAAAGAAAGAATGTTCTAGATATGTGCAAAAATTTAAAAAAAAATTTTAAAGCAAGAGAAAGCAGGGCACATTCTGTGTGTGTGTGTGTGTGTGTGTGTGTGTAGTAGGACTGGGGGAAAGGGAAGTTTGATGAGACAAGAATGAAGCTGAGGATATAAACAGGAGCCACATGATAGGGGATCCGAAGCCATATTAAGGACGTTGGGAATAACTGTAAGGCTTTAAACCCTCAGGGCTTAAACACAGGGCGATTTAAAGCCCTTCACAGGCCTCAGACGTTTTTACTATTGGAGGCCCCACCCCACATCACATCGAACAACATCATAAAATGAATCCACGTTACAATTATTTTTTAATAAAATTTTGACAGGAGTTTTGTGACTAATTTGGAATTATTAATTAATTTATTTTAATTTTTCAAATTGCTATTGATATTTTGAAGCCAGTGAAGTTAGGTAGGGGGGAGATATGGGGGTGACAGGCTCACTGCTCACAGACCCCAAGCTCTATGTTACGGTATCTAATAGTGACATGATCAGATTTAGGATTTAGAAGGATCACACTCTCAGGGTGCCTGAGCAGCTCAGTTGGTTGAGCATCTGACCCTTGATCTCAGCTCAGGTTTTGATCTCAGGGTCATGAGTTCAAGCCCCACACTAGGCTCCAGACTGGGCATGGAATCTACTTAAAAGAAGAAAAAAGGAAAAAAGAAAAGAGAAGAAGATCACGTTTTCTAAATCATTGAGTGGAAGCTGTTCAAGGGGTATGGGATCTCAGTTTTGCAAGATGAAAAAAGTGCCAGAGATCTGTTGCCTAACAAAGTGCTTATAGTTAACACCACTGTACCGTACACTGAAAAATGTTTCTGACTGTAAATTTTATGTTATTTACTTTTTTTTTAATTTTTATTTATGATAGTCACAGAGAGAGAGAGAGGCAGAGACACAGGCAGAGGGAGAAGCAGGCTCCATGCAGGAGCCCAACGTGGGATTCGATCCCGGGTCTCCAGGATCGCGCCCTGGGCCAGAGGCAGGTGCCAAACCGCTGCGCCACCCAAGGATCCCATGTTATTTACTTTTTTAAAACCACAATAAAAGGAAAATAGAGATTGGATCAGAAGGACCAGCCCTGAGTTGCCAGCTGGGAGGCAGCGCGGCAGCTGTAATATACTTGACAGATGGTCAAGACCTAAACTAAAGGGGGAGACAGAGAACAAACAGATTTAGGAGAATTACAATACTTAAATTTGTAAGAATCAACAGGATTTGGATGCAAGATTTGGCCGATGAGGCAAAGGGATGAGATGAGGGTGGTGCATCAGTCTGGGCGAGTAGATCATGCCCACTGCCACACTGGGGCCCCAGGAGAAGCAGCAGCCACAGGGGAGGGATGTGGGAGCTGTGGGTTAGGGTGCGACTGGAACATGCTAGGGGAAGGGTCCAGGAAGCATCTGGACACCACGACCTGGAGTTCTTGAGACAAATGGTTTCTGACGAAGTAGTTGGAGTGTGTGAAAGGTTGGAGCCTATTAAAATAAGACAGCCTCAGACAGAGGCCCAAGGGACAGCGACAACCCAAGGAAAGACAGGGGAGGGGAGCCCCTCTAGGGTCTGAGAGCAAGTCGGGAGAAATATCAAGGTACGAGTCAGACCAGGGCAGGACTAGACCAACGATTGTGCTCTAATGGAAGCCAAGGAAAGGTTCTCTTCAGAGGAAAGCGTGGTCAGTGTGGTTGGGCTGGGAAGCCTCAGGGGAGTTGGGACATGTGCTGTCGGTGGGGGTGTGGCGGGGAGTTGAGGGTGTTTGTGGGGGGATGCTTGAGGCAGGTTACATTCACTCAAGGGCATCACATCCCTCCACCCTGAGCCTCACCAGTCTCTTCCTCATTCATTCACCTTCCGGGCTGGTGCAGCTCAAGGGATGGGTGCCCAGCATTCAGGGGCAGGTGCAGTATGGCCTGGTGATGGTGGGGGCATGCTGGGGTGGAGGGGTTGTGGGAGGTTTACCAAAGAAGTCTTCCTGGGGAAGGAGAGCCAGGGCCAAATGTGGAAACCTTATAAGGTGAGGCTCAGTTTCACAGAGATGGGGGAACCATCCTGGCAGGGGGACCCCAAATATCCTCATAACCCCACAGCTCAGCCAATCTCTCATCCTCAGGAGGGGTCTCTGAGTGATGGAAGAATGTGGAACCATGGCAGCCAGAGGAGATTGTCCTTCCCATGGCCGCTGACAAAAGCCCCCTCATTCAAGGGAGGTCAGATTGGTGGGGCATGCTCTTTTTTCTTTTCTTTTTTTTTTTTAAGATTTTATTTATTTATTCACGAGAGACACAGAGACAGAGTCAGAGACATAGGCAGAAGGAGAAGCAGGCTCCCTGTGGGGAGCTGGATATGGGACTTGATCCCTGGACCCGACCTGGGATCACGCGCTGAGCCAAAGGCAGATGCTCAACCACTGAGGCACCCGGGCGCCCCTGGGCTTGCTCTTTCATCATCACGCGTGCATTCATTCATTCCTAATTCATTCCTTTGTTCGTGCATTCACTCACTCATTTGTTTGGTCTTTATTAAGCACCACTGCGGTGCTATCCAGCAGCAGGGATGGAAGCAGAATAGGGCGTGGTCCTCACCCACATATGACACACAGAGTGGGGGAGTGGACAGACGGTCACACTCCATAAGGCGTTCCTGGTGCTGAGAAAAATGTCTGTACAGAGTATAGGCAGGGTACGAAGTGGGGAGTGGTCACATCAGGAAAAGTGTGGCAGGAAACGCTTCCAGAGAGGAGCTGACCCTAGTGCCAAGTCCCAGGCAGGGGAGGGAGGGGCACTGCAGAGAGCGAGGGGCTACGAGTGGCTGAGCACCGCCAGCAGCCCCTGCGGGAACTGGCAACCCATCCATATTTGGAGGGTCCTTCACGGGGCTGAATGAACACCTGAAATGACACCACTCACTCTTCTGGTGTTAGGCACCAACCCGACCCATGTACTTGTAAAAACACAAACACCTGCACTATAGGAAACGTAGCACATCCAGTTGCAAGGTGTCCCACTGCCTGATTCAGTCAGATCCCTGGCCTCGGGAAGAGGCTCCTGGGGCTCGTGGCTCTCAGGACGGGGCACAGCCCACCTGCATCCCCCACTCCCCCCCGCCCCCCCCCCCACTGCCCAGCCTTATTATTATTATTCTGAACACATGACTCAGTTAAGGGCGGAGAAGAAAAGGTCCTAACTGTCCTGACCCCAAGAACAGGGTCTGAGGGTCTGTGTCCTTCCCTTCCAACCTCTCAGGAAGGAGCCGGGGTGTAATGTGAGGCCCAACCAGTGATAGGCTGAGTGGAGGATGAAAGTTTTAAATTTCCTAAATATAATGGTTGCTAAGGGAATTGGTTATTCACAGGTAAAGAGGAGGTTTGATTGCTGCCCTCCCCCCCCCCCCAGGAGGCTATTGCTTCCCCATAATACATTTCCTATTTGTGCCCGATTCTCCAGCGTTAACATTTCTCTGCAGGGTGGTGGGAGGGCTGCCTACAACTGTGCGTATCTCCACGCCTCATGGCCATTGTCGAGACTGAGTTCATCGGCATCTGGGGGGTCTGGGCAGGAAGACCATTGGTGTACGGAACGGGGAGCTTCCTGGAGAGGGAAAGGCATAGATGGGGGAGCTGGGGCACCTCAAAGACCCACTTCAGATTTTGGTCCAGGAATGGTCCTCACCTTCACTGTCGTCAGAGGCACAAAACCACTTCTGACAGGCATCCTGGGATGGCAGTTCATTTACCCATCTCTCCATCCATCCGTCCATCCATCCATCCATCCATCTGTCCATCCATCCAGTCAGTCATTCACCAAACCTGTCTTGTGTAAGACCTCGTGGAACTATGATGAGCTCAGGTCCCTGCTCCTGCACCTGATGCTCCTTGCACACGGCTCACCTTGTACCATCGCTGGGTCCTCCACCCGGGGCAGCTTCTCCAACGGTCCGTGTGCCTGAAGCCCACACTCCCCCTTCAGCCCACTCCTGTTCACAAGCCCTCCTTGACCCCCCTCGTCACCTAGAGTCACTCCTTTCCCTCCCCATGAGTACTGACACTACGCTTCACCCACCACGTTACCTCTTCCCACTGACATCTGCGGGACAGCAGCAGCCCTGACGAGCTTTCGTGTCTGTGTTCCTCCGCAGATGTGGACGCAGCGCTTCATTAATGCTTCCGGATGAACGAATGAATGGTAGGTAAGTTGTGTCTTTGGCAGGATGACGGCAACCCCATCCAATTCCAAACTTCCTTCAGCAACAGGCAGGGGCATTAAGAAACGCAGGGTGTTCTCCAGTTAGGTTTCCCGAAGGTGTCATGGATTTTCTCCCCTTAAATTGCAAGGATAAGCTCGTGCTCAGCCGCACACAGTTTATTTCCTTCTTTGTTTGGAGTTAGCCGGGATTCAGGAGGCATCTTCTCTGGGCTCAGCCATCGGGGTGCACTAGGGGTCCATGAGACTCTCATACCCTTACGCGGTGCTTAGAGCACCCCGAGTTTATTCACAACTGCTTCTCACCACAGCCCAATCTTGTCTTACAGAATTAGACATGATGGCTCAGAGAGGTTAAGCCCCGATCCGGCCCTCCAGCTGTGAGGGCGGGCAGGGCCTCTCTCTTGGGTCCTGGCTCTCCTCCCTCCCCCTCTCCTCCCCCCAACTCAACCGACAGAGCGGCCCAAGAGAGACGCACGCCCGCCCTGTGTCAGCAGGGCCGAGGGGGGCCATGGCCCTCATCCCCTGGCTTCGCGGGAATGAAGCCCCCCCGCGGCTGTCCCCCCGGAGGCCGGCTGAGATGGTGCTGGAGACGCTCATGATGGAGCTGGCGGGGCAGATGCGGGAGGCCGAGAGGCAGCAATGGGAGCGCAGTAACGCGCTCAGGAAGGTCTGCACCGGGGTGGACTACAGCTGGCTGGCCAGCGCGCCGCGGCCCACCTACGACCTCAGCCCTGGCGAGCGGCTGCAGCTAGAGGACGTCTGTGCCAAGATCCACCCATCCTACTGCGGGCCCGCCATCCTCAGGTAACCCCCACTCCCCTCCCGGGTCAGGCCTTGCACCGAGGGCTGCGGGGGTGTGGCTGCAGGGGCAGGGGCCCGAGGCCCCCAGGCCCCCAGGACGGGAGCCAGGGCCCCTGGATGACCCAGGGATCTGTAAAAGGAGCAGCACCGCAGGCTGCAGGGGTGTGGCTGCAGGGGCAGGGGCCCAAGGCCCCCAGGATGGCAGCCAGGGCCCCTGGATGACCCAGGGATCTGTAAAAGGAGCAGGGCAGAAGCAAGACTCTGCAAGAGCCCAAAGAACACCAGGCCAGAGCCGGGGTTCAGAGGGAGGCAGCAGGCAGGAGGCACATGACTTTTGATGGGAGAGGACCGCAGGCCTTTGAGCTTTCTGTTCTCCCTGGATTATCATTGCCCCGGATTTTAACACAGCGGGCTCTTTCTCCTTCATCGGTTCATCTTCCATATTCCCTTCTTAGAAAGGCTTTCCAGATAGTCTTCCCAGAGTTCAGTTTTCAGTATCCTATTTCACACTAGCATTCGTATTAGTTTGCCTCAAGGGACTGTGCGTGCATGTGTCCGCACATGTGCATAAGCGTGTGTGTGTGTGGGGGGGTGTTCAGAGCCCCGGGGCACTGAGCATTTAGAGATTTAGAGCTTAGGTACAACAATGTCCCTGAATATAAACGTAACCTTAATAAAGCTCTGACCCACATGCCCCAGTCTTGGTTGGATTCGTGTTAAAGTCAGAGAAGTGTAGTCCGACAACCAACAGTAATTTCAAAAGTTATTCGAGGTCTTCATCCGCACCTCTCAAACACTAGTAAAGGGATGCAGATCCACAGTAAAACACCTGAACATGCCTCCAATCTTCAACCACCTATCTCTTTAACCAATGTAAGCCTCTATTGTACCCCTGTTTTTCTTGGAAAATCTCCTTAAAACTCCTTCTCCAGTCCTATCCACGCCCCCTTGGATCTTGTAGTCTTTTGCACCCTCCGCCCCCTTTCTTCCTCCAGGCTGAGACTCTTACCCAGTTTCTCTTGTTCCGTCCTATGCAATCCCCCCCCCCCCCGAAATGTACCTACTTCCAGAAGCACCTGGGGACAGGGGTGGGGTGAGTCCTGGGGGTGGTGCTGATGAGAGAATCCGGGGCTGGTAAACCAAACCTCATACATGAGGGGAGGCCGGGGACACGCATAGGGTCATGAGGGCCCCCTCACATTTCCCGTGTCCCGATTCTCCATATGGTGGAGGAAACCAGGTGTTCAACGGACTTGCTAACCAGCCTCCTTCTGTGGAGCCCTAGGCAGGCACGTTTGAGGCCCCGGAAATCCTCGCCCAGCGGGTGGCCGGGGCTCTGGAGGGAGTGTGGCAGGTGGCAGGGCGGTCACTGCACAGATACACATTTGCAAGAGACCATTAGGGCCTGCAGGGGGGCGGGAGCGAGGGAGGGGCCCCCCCGGAAGCCTCACTCGGGGAGGCCCAGGCTCCCCTGACTACCCCGGCGCCGTCTCACCTGAGACCAGCTCAGCGTCTTTGCAGCCGGTGGCTCCCGAAACCCCACGAAGGGCCGCTAGGACCCCAGCTTCCAGGTGAGGAAGCTGCGGCCCAGGGGGGCGGGAGGTGGCGGGCGGGGCGGGGCCGCAGGGGAGGCTCCCGGCAGGGAGGGCGCGGGACCCCCGCCCAGGCGCCCTCGTCCCGCGCAGGTTCCGGCAGCTGCTGGCCGAGCGCGAGCCCGAGGTGCACGAGGTGTCGCGGCTCTTCCGCTCGGTGCTGCAGGAGGTCCTGGAGCGCGCGCAGCGAGACGCCGCCGCCCGCCCCCGCCCCCGGCCCTGGAGCCTGCGCCCCCGCCGCGCCCCCGCGCTGGACCCCCGCGGGCCCCGCGCGCGCGTCTCGCCCTTCGCCGGCCACATCCGCACCGTCTCCGAGGACGTGGAGCGCGACGCGCCGCCGCTGCGCACCTGGAGCGTGCCAGAGTTCCGGGCGCCGCAGGGGGGCCGCCCCGCCAGCTGAGCACCCCCCCCCCGCCCCCCGACGCCCCCCGGAGGGAGCGAGCCTTCCTGCCGCCCGCCCCCGCCACAGGCTCAGGGTTAGGGCTGGCGGCCGCGGGGGTACCCCCTCACCCCCATCCCTACCCCCCTCACCTCCCACCCCCATCCCTACCCCCTTCACCCCTCCACCCCTCCCACCCCCATCTCTACCCCCCACCCCCATCCCTACCCCCTCACCCCCACCCCATCCCTACCCTACTCACCCCCACCCCTCCCACCCCCATCTCTACCCCCCACCCCCATCCCTACCCCCCTCACCCCCACCCCATCCCTACCCTACTCACCCCCCACCCCCCCACCCCCATCTCTACCCCCACCCCATCCCTACCCCTCTCACCCCCCACCCCCATCCCTACCCCCTTCACCCCCACCCCTATCCCTACCCCACTCACCCCCCACCTCTACCCCACTCACCCCCTATCCCTCCACCCCTCCCACCGCCATCTCTACCCCCACCCCCCTCACCCCCCCACTCCTCCCACCCCCATCCCTACCCCCTACCCCTCCCACCCCATCCCTACCCCTCTCACCCCCACCCCCATTCCTACCCCCCTCACCCCCCACCCCTATCCCTACCCCCTTCACCCCTCCACCCCTCCCATTCCTACCCCCCACCCCTCCCACCCCCACCCCTATCCCTACTCCCCTCACCCAGCCTACCCCCCTCACCCCATCCCCCCACCCCTACCCCCCTCACCTCACCTCATCTTACCCCCACTCCTCTCCCTCCTTCCCCTGCCCCCTCCCCCTTCCCCTTTCCTCCTCCCCCCTCCCAGCAAGTCAGCAGGAGCTTCCCCTGCCCCGCCCTGGAAAGACTCTGGGTCTTGGTAGACAGGCCCCGGCCCCAGCCCCTTTTCTGCTTCTGTGTCTGGAAGGGGGAGACTGGCCCCGACTTTTTGCCAAGACCTGGGTTCTCACCCCTCACCCTGAGTGATGAGGGATTTGTTGGGTGCTGTCCATCCTCTGCTGGTGACTGGCTGGTCTCACCCCGCCGCGGAGGTCACGGCCGGTGGACAGGTAGAGCTGAAAGGGACCCCAGAAGCCAAGAGGTCCGCTCTCCTCAGCTCGTGAAATGAAGGAACTGAGGCACAGACAGGACCAGATTCTTAGACCTTAAGTTTGCAGCCAGATCCCCGCGGTAGTGAGATTGTTCCTGGAGGCGTAGTCGCTGCCCCTGAGTCCTTGAGTCCGGGCTGTGACGGGACAGGTCCAAGGGCTATGTCTCCACCTGGTGTGGTCTGACCCATCTCTTACCTTGGAATCGGCGTGCAGGTCTACAGCAGCCCGGATCAGAGGTTGGATCCCTTACCCTACCCCAGGGTACCCTCAGGTGGGATGTGGCCAATACCTGGCAGCCCCTTCCAGAGGTGAAGCTCCAAGGCCCTCCTACGCAGGTCTCTAATTCCAGGGTCTCTTCTGTAACTGGTCACACCTGCTCTTTGGCTTTCCTCAAGGAAAGTGATACCAAAATTCCTAACTGGCCTCAAAGAACCAAATGAAATGTTCCAGAAGAGCCTCCCTACAGGCTTCACTGTCCTTCCATTTCTAATACAGTTAGACCTTGATATTGGGCACGTGGTGCTCCAATGTGTGGAAGGTCTGGTGGCTTCCCCCACTTACCCCGGGCTGAGGGAGGGTGTGAGGGAATGGGTGGGGAAAGTGTCTGTCCCTAAGTATCAGTGCATGCTCAGAAAATACAAGTGGATCTTCATATTAGTCTAAATAAAATGCCAGCAGATAAGTCAGTGGGGAACAACCCATATATTCCCTGGCCAAGCTCAGTAGAAAAAAATAATTTCTTTGAATGATTCGGTTTTGGATTATTTTCCTTCATTTCATTTCATTTCTGGGCAGAAAATCATAAACTGATGGAAAACCTCTTATCCAATACAGTCAAGATGAATGAGTTGTCTCATGACATATTTGGTGGCAGTTGAAAAGCACTTAAATAAAAATATATACCCTAAGCCTCTTACGTGTTTTATGTTAAGACATTAACAAAAAATTCATTCGATGGTCAAGCTGTGTTCATATTTTGGTGACACGTGTGGATTGTCTGATGAGAATTCCACACTTAAGTTGTATTGGCTTGTGCGTCCTTTAATCATAGCCATAAGAACAACTGGCATAAGCAATTTGGAACAAGCAGAAGTGATCCTTGGTAAGCAGACAAGTCGCTTGGTAGGGACAAAAGTGTTGAGGAGAGTTAGAATAGGATCTCCTAGCTGTGAGCTTTCTGGGTAGCCTGGATGTGGGTCCGGGTGTTTTTTTCTGAGGAATGGAGTGTTGGGGCCAACCTGCTTTTGGGGTGCGGGTGGTTCAGAGGAGGTCAATTAAGAGAATATCTACTGTTTTCCTCCTTCCCACCACCCTATATCCTACCTGTCCTCCCCAAGGAAAAGGAAGATCTAAGACCTTCAACATCATTCTCTTTCTTAAGTTGAAGTAAGTGGCGTCCACGAAGGCCTCCCTGCCCACCTCAGTCAAGAGAGACAGAAACCCCCAGCCTCAGACACTGGTTGTCCTACTGAATTCTAACTGGTGACCCTCAAACCTGTGAGAAGTTGCTCCTCTGGATTCAAATCATTAAAGGGAGTAACGAGGGCTGCCTCAGTTTCTATCTTTAAAACCCCACCAAGAACAAAAGAACAAAACAGTTGGAGAGCCTCCCTGGGGGTGTGTGGTAGCAGGTACAAATGTCTTATTTTATTTTTTCTTTAAGTCTTGTTATTATGAAAACTCTCAAACGGAAAAGCATAGCGAAAAGTGTAAAAAAAAAAAAAAAAACCCATCACCCAGGCTCGGTAGTTATTAAGATTTTGCCGTATTTGCTTTAATCTATTCTTTGGTAAAGTATTTTAACATAAATCCCAGACAGCATGACATCTCACCCCTGAACACTTCAGTATGCCCTGCAAAGGAATAAGGAAAGTTTCCTGTGTAACTCGAGTACAATATTGCCATTCCCAACAAAATTAACAGTAATTCCTTAATATCATCTAATATCTGGTCCGTATTCAAATTTCGCTAGCTATTCCCAACAAGTGATTTTGGCACTTTTGTTTCTTTGACTGAGGATCAAATCAAGCCCCACACATTGACATGAAATTTATGATTTGTTTTATACGTGATCATATAGCATTTAATTTCACAATGAAGAATGGCTTAAATAGAAAATATTTCTGGAACATTCGTGTTAATATGCCATAAGTAAATGTCGGCATGTAAATGAGAATAATTCTGCAAATTAGCCTGAGGATGCTCTTTACTCAGCTCCTTGTTATTTTCATTTGATTAAAATTCTTCCACAGCAACCAAGATTCTCTAATACCTTGAAAAAGAATGTCAAATATCGATAGTGACTATGTATCTAATTTGACTTTTCACTGGATGAAAATGCTCTCCAGGTCCATGGGCTTTATTTTCTGAGACATGCTTGCAAATAGCCAGCTAAAACCTCCTCTTTTCTTGCCATTTAGAAGCAAAACAGTAAAATGAATTCTCGTAGTAGGCAAAGAAAATAGTTTGTCTATTTTTTTGATGCCATTATTCAGCATGTAGTGAAATTTCAATCTGTCTTAATATTCCTACGGCTCCCCAACATAACACAATATGTTATTTCAAAATCTACTCATCGACAAATCATTTTTAGACAGTTATTTTAAATCAATTTAACGCCTTGCATCACTTGTTAAATGGGGAAATTGGCATCTGTTTCTTCTTATGAATGTTATTACATAGAGTATCAAATTAGCATTATTATATTTAGTCAGGTGCTAATCTAAAAATAAAAACATTGAACTAAAAATCATGACTTTATCGTACTCCAGGCGAAAATGACAGAATGATATATTTTTTTTAAGTTTCTAAAAATTCCCCAGAATTGTTATATTCTTGAGAAAGGCATTCCCCAGCCAACAGAAGTTGGAGTGTTTTCTAGCATATTTGATTGCACTGCATTCTGGTTACAATTCCCTTGCTGGACCAAATGCAACATTCCCAAAGCCTTGCAGTCGGATTTGGAAGTTCTCCAGCCCGGTGTCCCCCTCCCAGCTAGGGTTTGGCGTGAGCAGAATTCCATTCCAGGGACAAGCTATTCTTCTCTGAGTAGCTGAGTGCTGACGTTTGTTTTTTGTTTTAAAGATTTTATTTATTTATTCATGAGAGACACAGAGAGGCAGAGACACAGGCTCCTTGAAGGGATCCCAGTGCAAGACTTGATCCCAGGACCACAGGATCACGACCTGAGTCAAAGGCAGCCGCTCAACCACTGAACCACCCAGGTGCCCCTGAGCCTTGAAGTTAACAGCTTAGAAGCGACTTCTGGCCCCTGCTGGGGGCCGTGGGCCTCCGCTAGGCTCTGGCTTAGGGTCCAGGCTCCAGAACACAGGGCAGAGGAGGCCTAGTGGAGGTTAGCCTGTCCCTACTAGAAAAAGAAATCAAGGTGCTGAGCAAAGAAACTGCTCTGAAGTGCAAAGGGGACTGGAAAAAAAATCCATGACTTACCCAAAGAAGCCAGCCTGATTATATCGATAAGGACAGAAATGGCTCTGTCTTCAAGAAAATTCCTTTGTTAACATTCGAATTGTCCTTTGCAGTGGACCCACATTATCTCAACATCATCTTGACCCTCCAGGGAGACGAGGACATGCATTCCGTTTTGTTTTCAGGTTATAAGCAAGTGGCCTGCCTGGGCCTGGAAGCCAGGGCTCCTTTCAGATGTTTCACTGCTTCTCAGCGTTCCAGATCCTTATCCCCCCTCAGAACCACCGCAGATCCTTACCCTTGTACTTATCACCCGGAGATGTAAATAGATGTGGTGTTTTCTATTCACTCCATCCCCCTCCAGGCCCGTTCAGCTGCCTCCCATAGTTTGCGAAATCCTTCAGCTGCAGGAACCAGGTCTTTCATCTCTGGGTCTCTACCTCCGGGGCACAGAGTAGACACTTTACAAACGTGCTT